ATGCAGCGCGGTTCTCGTTCAGTGTGACCTGGTCTGTCGAGCCAGAGTCGAAAAATTCTGGCCCCAAAAGTCGTCAGTGAAACCCAGCTCGTAGGCCGAGGAACACCAGGCGCATACCAGTGTAGGACTTTTTCAACTTCTTGACCGCCTCCTGGTGGATATCATCAATACAGAGCACTGGAGCCATCTTGTTGAATATCTTGAAACCGATGAACACTTAATTCTACTTGGATAGCGGTGCACCATCTACAGGTTGCTGCTGGTCTGGTTTTGTATCGCACAAGCTGGCTTGGGTCGGCACAGAATGGGCTGATGCGTGAGTCAAGTTTAGGGCGTAAAAGGCGTGCATTTCATGTCTTCGGGTAGCGACGCTGACGCCTCGGGTTTTGGTCCCAATGTCGTCCGCTACCAAGCGGGGCACCAAAAGTCGTGCTAGAAGCTCGCTCTCTCTGAACTGTCGTTCCGCAGCTAATCGCGAGCCGTTGTCGGCAGATTCCAACGGCTAGTGTACCGGGGCCGATGTCCGATCTCGCCGGACCTGGTGCCGAATCATTTTGACCACATCATGTCGCACATTGTAGTCCGAAGATAGTAAAAGATAACACTTTTCGACCAATAACGTGGGGCCATGGCGGAGGGCATTTCCCCTTGGAGTCCTAACCGTTGCTAGGAGATGTCTGAGTACGACTTCTGGCTTCAAGGGGAAGCTATCCGTCAAGTTTTTCAGCGTGAAAAAGGTACCTGCCTTAGAATCCACTTTCTGCTGAGAGCTCCCGGCGACATTGTTCTTCCCAAAAACGTGATCGGTCCAACTCCATTCCCAATGGCTTCGAAGCTCAGCACGATTGGTATTCCTAAAGGCGCATCTGCCAAAGTATCAATCATAAATAACTCCTTCCTCTGGGATATTCCGGTGGACAACTACATCCAGCCAAAAGTTCCTGGTTATGACAAATTTTACCTTCCATCGTATGCTTTCTTGATTGAGAACACGCAAGGGCGCAAGGTGCTCTTTGACTTCGGCCTCCGAAAAGACTGGGAGAATCTGACTCCTGAAGCTGCCCACGAGATTAGCGGCGATGGGATCGAAATTGAAGTAGAGAGAGACGTTGTCGATATCCTCGCCGACGGCGGTGTAAAGGGTGAGGACATCGAAGCAGTGGTGTTCAGGTAAGATGTTGCTAAAGAATCTGATGTTTGGCGTTTTATTCTCCGTTGGCTAACAAATTCTATGCCCGCTTAGCCATCACCATTGGGATCATATCGGTGATATGTCCAAACTTCCTGCCAGTACAGACATTATTGTTGGTCCGGGGTTTTCCAAAGCATTCTTGCCTGGCTATCCAGCCAACCCGGATTCTCCTATTCTGCAGAGTGACTACGAGTGAGTGTCACCTTATGGCACGACATCTGGCTAGGGAAAGGACGAAACTAAAATGCGATCAAGAAACCACAAACTCCAAGAGATTAACTTTTCCGGTCCTGGTGCAGCCATAACGGTTGCCATAGGTGCATTTTCTGGGTATGATTTCTTCGGGGATGGCTCTCTATATCTAGTAGACGCCCCGGGTCACAGCATTGGACATATTTGCGCTCTTGTGCGAACAACGTCTGGTGAGGATGAGGATACGTATGTCTTCCTCGGTGCCGATGCTTGCCATCATAATGGAGAGTTCCGGCCTTCTCCTTGGCACCCTTTGCCGGCAGAAATTCTTCCCAACCCTCTCACTGGAAGCTCGGTGTATGCCTGTCCCGGCGCATCGTGGGAAAGGCATTTGAAGGCCGCAGGGAGGTCAAAAGAGATGGCCTTCTTCGATATACCGGATACCACCGCGGGAGCCGCCTACACCCACGATGTGCAAGCATCCAGGGACACGATTTCTAGGGTACAGGACGTTGACTCTGGTGAAAACGTTCTTGTCATTCTTGCCCACGACAACAGCGTAAAGGATATTGTAGATTTCTTCCCCAAACCCCTTAACGGCTGGAAAGCTAAGGGCTGGGGGGTCGTGTCTCGATGGGCGTTCCTGAAGGACTTTCAGAAGGTGTATAGCGATGACTATGTATGACAGGTTATTTTACCTTTGGTTACAGGTACTGTATATCACTATTGACGCACAGGTAGCAACCCATAACGAAGCTGGCGCTACCCAAAGCGATATGAGTTGGTGCATTCTACAACTCTTCTATGAGCTTATTGATCTATGTAATCTATAACATATGTCTACATTTGAAGTATCTCTAGCAAACAGTGATAACTTTAAGCTAGTGGCCTCGTCTGTATCCATATAATCTGGTGAACTAGGTGCCAATGTTTACCAGGAAACATAAGAGATGATAGAAAGTAGCGAATTCCAGCGTACTAACAGAGTACTAATTCCAAATTCCACAGTATCAAGTGAATATTAAATTAGTTGAAATTTCGTGCGTGAAATAGCGACCCATCTCCAGAGAGGTGTCCGACAGAACATCCGCTTAAGCCTAGTTTGTATGACGATGTTAGCTAGTAAGACGGAGGCATGGATAACTTTAAACGCCGTAGTATTTACCTGTAGAATATAGTAGATGCTCCTGCACACCGCGCCGTTGCCGTCGGTGTACATAACGTGCTTGTTGTCCTTGAAGACATTATAACTATGGTACTTATTCGAACCAGTGCTACAGCTTCATTAACCCAGAGTTCTCGAATATTGAAACTATCAACTGGGCAACATACCCAACTTTGCTGAAGTCGGATCTGGATGCCGCGTCAGAAGGCAGGGTGTAGAAGAAGGGCACGCCACTAGGGAAGCCGCAGCCTTGGTTAGTGCGGCCCTCCCAGGTGAACAGCCCACTGGTGCTCAGGAAGCACTCGTCGCTCGAGGAGGCAAGGTGATTGCAGTTGCCGTCATCAGCACAGTACTACCACCACCTCGTTAATTGTTCGTATTTCTGTATCGGAAGGAGGGGGGGCGACTAACAATCTCAAGCGAGTACGAGAGGCCGCCGCCCTGGCAGTTGACAAGGTGAATACCCTCTGTAGCCCGTTTACTGAGTTGGATGAACTCGGCGGGCTCGATTCCACCCAGTTGGACACCCTCGAGAGCCTTTTCCGGAATGGCAAGTGAGGATGGAGCTGGTGCGACAGCCCCAGCAGCACCCATAATGAGAGAGGTAAAAACGACGAGAGCTGTGGATAGCATCTTTGAAACGTCGGCTGGCCACTTGGTTGATTGTATGTCTTAGTGCGAGTGAAGGATGGGAGCCTAATGTAACAACTAAGAGTGCGTGATGATGGTGATATTTATACTATTTCTCCCTTTGGTTCCTGCCTTTTCTCTTGATTTGGCCGAGAGTGAGGATGTGGCAAAGGCATGTAATAAACCAATTAGTCAGATACGCAGGTGGTTAATACAGCCTATAATGCCACATTTGGTAAACTGTCGCTATCTTCGTCGCGTACGATTCGCCGCCTCAATACAATCAAAGACCCAACCAATAGGACATCCTGAATTCTCAGGTCGGTAGCGTTGTTTGCTTAAGAAGAGCTTAGAAGCTGTACAGCGGCAACGTAATCATCAGCCTCACTATCACATAAAGTGCTTGCGTCTTAAACGACTTCGCCTAATCTGCATGACATGGTATCAAGGTGGGCAGGATTGCCTTTTTCGGAAATCTCAGTTTTTTAGATGAATATAAAGAACCATACACATCGGTATTGCCGGATACTATTTGGCCGAACCCGAAGACATCGCGGTCGATGGTGGCGGATGTCAGCGCCTAATAGAGTGCGTAGCTTGGCAGTCTTGGCAACTGAGGAAAGTGCCTTGCTCTAGGGGACTGCTTAGACATAATACGAGGTAAGATCTTTTCGAAGAATCCCGGCCGAAGCATCTCCCTTTGATCTTTGACTCACCTGAAGGGACTGCCACCGTGGAAATTGTAATGTGCGCAAACAAGCTACTCAATCTCGTTGCGTTTGCTCCATAGCACAGGCTCTCGTACCCATCCCTCCATAGGTTATGTATCTAACTTGCTACAGCTGTAATTTCTTTGTCGGTGCCGGGCGCTGACGTATGATTCCTCGCTCACCTTGAAGCATGGGGCTATGGCGGCGCCTAGGCTCCCAATTTAACGTAATATCGTCAAATATCGAAAATACGATGAAACACCCATGGAAGATCCCTCGAGATCTTAAAATGCACGCTGCCGGAGCTTCAGGGTTGGTAATGGGGTCATTAACCCTCAAGGAGTCTCGAACAATAGAAGCCGTTGAAATTCTCCAACTGTGATGAGTCCGCTGACAATAAAACCCGTTGCCGCTGCCCTATTTGGATTGTCCCAAATTCAGCCAACTGCACAACACATATATGAGCCGCAAGCAACTATTTTGTTATGAAAATCTAGGTGGACAATAGACTTGCTCTTAACGTAGAATCTGATCCGTTTATTCGCAGGGATAGCATTATCTGCCAGATGATGCATCGATGAAATAGTTCGATAGCCTCTATCTTGTCAGGCTGCGATTTGCAGGGCAGAGTGAGAAGGATGGCAAGATACTTTCAACCACACTATATTTTGGTGTGCAAACTGATCTGTAGCCCTTCATATTACCTTCGCGCTGGCCATTCTCTTTGTATACTGGCTTGATCGACGCTGGGACCCCCTACACTAGCCCTAAGCCCTCCCCTAAAACAAGTCCGACACGTAGGTCCGGGCACACTAACACCTGACATATTTTCAGTCCGGACGGAAGTGAAATTTCAGTAATAGGTACCGCGGGTAAGAACTGGGGCTTCTCATGAGAGAATGTTTTTTTTCTGTAGCTCTTCCTCAATCTGCTACCTCAACCGTTGCTGTCATATGTACTAGTTGGTTACCCTAGAACACGCGAATGGAGCAACTCGATCGATGCCAGGCATACAGCGGTTTAATAATAAAAAATGGGAAAAAAATGAAGATATTGGAGAAGCTGGGAACTGTCAAAGGATTAGAAACAATGCCTATCACGGTTCGATTTTTCAAGACGTACTCGAACCCAGGACCTTTCGCAAGGTGTTTTGCTAAGCGAGCGCTCTACCAACTGAGCCACATCCCCTGACTGTAGTAGCGACGAGGAAAAGAAGAGTTGAAACGTGCCGAGGGAGGGGAAAAAAAAAAAAAATTCCGTGATGCATCGTGAAAGATGAGAAACAAAAAATGTGGAGGAGCTGGGAATCGAACCCAGGACCTTTCGCAACCATGTGTAGGTGCTAAGCGAGCGCTCTACCAACTGAGCCACACCCCCATTTGATATCCCTTGCCGTCAGAAAAAGCTCTCATAAAATGAGTTTCAGAAGATGAGGGGAAGAAGCATGGAAAGAAGCTAATTAGCTTAAGCACCCATGTCTAATTGATATATTAGCGCACGGCAGTGTAGCTGTATGACTGACTCGTGTTGCCGCCCTCTTGCATCAGGAGTGGGCCCCCCAGTATATTTAGCCGAACAATCCTCTGTATATCGCACCGAAAGTGCCAAGCTGGGTTTGGTAAGAATTTTATTAGCTGTGTCGACACAAGACAACACCCAAAGAGTTAGCGTGAGACGGTTAACCTGGTCGGCATGGATGGATGATCAAGGTACTTACTACAAAAGCAACTAGAGGAGGCTTATTTTCACCTGCATATGAGGTTAACACTGTAGATCCCACTTGTCTGGCATCTAACAGGATGTCCGGACATCAAGCACCAGAGCCTCAAAGATTCAAGTGTATTTAGCGTAACAACCATCGACCACGCATGCATAGCCGCATCTACTATCCCTTCCAGACCTTTATACTGCATTAGAGAAGCTGGTAATGAGGGCAGGGGGTGTCATGTCAACAGCTGCTGCCTGGACTGTGCTGTCAGCCAAGTTCACCACTGTCCTGATCACGCTGGCGCAGCCACAAGGTAGCTGCTAGATACACTGCCAACTTCTCTCGTAAAAGGAACCCTAGCAACGGCCATGGTTTAGGACCATATGTGCGGGTGTCTACAGCGCTGTGCTAGTCCACAAGCCTGTGCCAGATATATATACTGTGACCAAAATTGGGAGCGTGGCTGCGTCACTCCTTTCCCTCTTTAAGTCTGTATTTCTCGTGATTTTCGGTCCTATATCCTCCTTGGTGCTTAACAGGTAACAAATGGGAGCTAATTGAGCGCTTTGTTCACCCTCTTCTGACCTGTTGACCAACTCGAGAGGATGTAGGTCACGTCTGTAAGGGTACATACAGCACCAGCACCCTGAGCCGAACACCACAAAAGTGGAACGTTGTGCAGTCAAGCGCTGCACCGCTGCTAGTGGGCTTATAAACCTACACTGCTACTTCACGTACTGTGACACTGTCATCATGCTAGGTGAAGCGACGAGGAAGAACTAAATAAATGAAAGAACTAGGTATATCTATCAATTTCAAGCGACTTGCAGATTCGTGTATGAAAACGACCTTCAAGAGGAGCCTCAAAGAATACACAGTGGAGAATAGAAAATCTTAGCTCCTCGGTAGATGGTTGTCGTTTTAGTCTGGCCCTTTCGGTCACCGCCGTAAGGTGACAGGGGTGGTAGCTCAGTTGGTAGAGCGTTCGCTTCGCATCTAACACGGCAGCATGCGAAAGGTCCTGGGTTCGATTCCCTGCCACTCCAAAGCTATGTCTTTTTTCACTTACCTTTTTTTTTCCTAGTCGGCTTTCTTTATGATAAACCTCGAGAGCTCGCGAGGTCGAGCTTCCGTTCTAGAAGCCGACATTTAACTTACTCAGTGTGCTGAAATCTTCGCCGCACGAATGTATGCTCCCACCTTCGGTAGAGCCTGTGTACCAAGAACCCTGGCACCAAGCAACAAAGTCATAGTTTTACTACCACTTGATGCCAGATGAGTGGGCTGTCAGTATGAAGATCTTGATGAAACAAAGGAGTATAGCCTTTAGTCTTGCTTTCTGATGGCTACCTATACACAGTGGAGTTCCTATGGAGCCATGCTACCGAGCCGCAATTTTCCCCAGTACCAATTTCCAGGCAAACTCTCTTCTGCACAAACTTAATAACCACGCACTCTTTGTCGTCCCAGCTAGGATAATCCCATCGACACTAATGTCCATAGCCTCTAATTAATGACTAAGTCCCTGGTGAGAGGACATGGCAAAAATCCAGAAACTATTGTGTGAAATCTACCTGGTGGAGAGCCTAGACGGTCTATGCGGTTCGATGGCTTCAGAGCTTACGGATTTTCTTCCACAAACAGGAGATGGAAGTATCCAACTGCCATGAACTAGGCGTTTTCGTTGGCTTTATGGAGGAGAACTTGAACTTACTGTCGGATGGCAGGCGTCTAGAGGCCCAATATTGCTTTATCTGCAGCTCGTTCAATCCATACTTGACGACTAGTTCCTTCCACCAGGCGACGCCCCGGAGCGCCACGCTGTCTAGTCACAGCGGTAGATATAAATATAGATGCAAGGTCTATGGCGATGCCTAGATATGCCACATACTCACACGTATAAAGAGTGGTGGCACCCCGGTCCATCCGCGTTGTGTTAAATGTCTTTTCTGTAACCGTCCATGCTAACGCGGCTAACAGTAACTCCTTTGGCGCGATCTTGTTACGCGGGTAGGTTGACTCGGCCACTCAGCTAATAACATTCTATCCAACCTCAGCTCGACGTGTTTAGAATCATATTACCTACAATGCTAAATGGGGAGGTATTTGTTGAAATAGCTCTGGTGCATGAAGTTGGTGATTGTTGGGCTAAATACCTACTTACACACAGGTGCCCCACTCAGAGCATAACACAAGTCAGTTATACAGCCACACTGCCGTGCATTAATATATCAACTAGACATGGGTGCCTTGATTAAAATTTTCTTTCCATCTTCTTCCCCTCATCTTCTGAAACTCATTTTATGAGAGCTTTTTCTGACGGCAAGGGATATCAAATGGGGGTGTGGCTCAGTTGGTAGAGCGCTCGCTTAGCACCTACACATGGTTGCGAAAGGTCCTGGGTTCGATTCCCAGCTCCTCCACATTTTTTGTTTCTCATCTTTCACGATGCATCACTTTTTTAAATTGTTGTTTCGAGGTACGGTTGTCTTCATTATTATTATTATTATTATTATTATTATAGATATCCAAGCTCGAGCCAGCCATCTAAAAACGGCGTACCGGTCGCTTGATTGGATAAGAAGATGACGCAAACATGATTACTCGACAACGTCTCGTTTGGCCTTCGATCCCGGTAGCTGGTGTGGTATTGATCCCTTACGTCAAACGGAAAATCTTTTGCTACCCTCGACGAGTCCTTCCAGTAGCTTTGTCACCGTAGACCATTGCGGTGCGAATCGGAAGATCTCATCCAGTGCTGGAATCGTTCCCGGTTCGTTGGCATCTGCCCAGATACACACCACCCGACCGGTGATATTGCTTGAATGCACAGTGAACGGTCCATCTTCGTGAAGGTTGGAGAAATCTCTTAGCCGGAGTTCCATCCTAGATATACCGTCGGATGCTTGCTGGCCAGTCTCGATGCTGCCGGCGGGGGACAGACTAGACGAGCACATGTCGGCATCTCGCCATTCAAACTCAACCTCCCAGGCTGTATCCCAATCTCTCCTCCATAGCTTGATCTGGTCAATGCCGGTGGCCGGGATGTCTCCGAAGCGATAATCTAAACCGGCGCCGCCACGAACCGAGAAGTTCGAGACGGGGCGGTCAAACCGGATTTGGCAAGCCTTTGAGTTTGCCGCATCGATGGTCATTTTGGCCTTGTTGTCGCCATTACCTCGAGAAACGTTGAATGCCAGCCAATCTTGGATCGAGCCCATTGGGCGTAACTTCTCACCGCTAGTGAGGGCTTTGGTGATGTTCGGTAGCACCTCAGAACCATCGTACTCGCATAGCACAATCCCGTTGCGCGGCGGAGCTGTGATGCCGCACTGAATCGGCTTGCCCATAGAGGATGGAAGGGAAGGAATCATTTGTCGAACGTACTTCTCAATGCCACCGATTCGTACGACAGATGCGCCGGTATCGAGATCGATAGCATTCTGGAAGAATGCTTTGTAGCGGCTATTTGAGTTGAACGGAAAAGCAGCGAGATTGTAGATGAACGTAGCGAGGAAAATAAGGAGAAAGAATGTCGGCAACGGCCAGCTCAGTCGATGAACAAAAGGTGTCGTGGGCACTGCGAGCATGATGCTGAAAAGGGCAACAAAAAGGATAGGTGTTAGAACACTCGAGCCATCGCTGCCTGTCTGAGAGACCGAGGACCCCAGCAGGAGACCAATGTTGCAGATGAAGATGATCGTGGCCGGCGCTATCATTAGGAATTGCAGAAGCCATGAGCAGGATGGTGTATCCTCAAACCAGGCTTCATTTTCCCCGTGCTTGCCTCGCCATCGCGAAACTTCCCTCTTCGGTAATAGCTTTAGACGTTGGAGGATCGGCTCTCTGGAAATGCTGGGTTCCTCGCTAATCTGATTCCTGATGGCCTTATTACGGGGATTCTGCGTGTCATCGCCGCTGGCTCGATCTTCTGACACTGCGGGAAATCCGGTAGGGTCAAGAGACAACGCTGGGTCTAAGCTGGCAGATTGCTGGACAGCTTCCTCGTCTCTGAGGAGCATTTGGGCACCAACCGACCGAGGCGGTAGAAAGTACAGCTCCCCAAGAGTTATCAAAGCGGCCCCAAACATCAGGGTGTGGAAGATGACGAAGAAATAGCCGGCGCTGATTTTTGGTTTGCTCAAAAGATATGTCACTGCCACTAGAATGACCCAACTCAACGCATATAGCCACAGCACTGCGAAGCCACGCTGGAGAGCCGTGGATTTCGAGAGACTAGCACGACGACTGATAGCCCAGAAGGTAAAAATGAAGATAGATAGTGACATTGACCATCTGGAACATCATTAGCATCTCTCCCTTCGATGAGATAGTGATGGAGCGGGACTTGCATGCTGTATTCGCTGCTGTATATGATAAAGGGGTTTCCTTTTGCGATAATGAGCCCGGAGACGATCACCGCCAATATGGAGACGATAAGCGCAATTGGATACCGGAAAAGGCCATTCCACCCATTGACAACGGGCAATATGTTGTTTCTGCGTCGAGAAAACCGACCCGAGAAAAAATAGTACTTGTCCGCACGGATGAGGAAGAATGTCAATCCGCCTAGGGCCAGCGGGCTGATGACGAGCATCGCAACGGCCCAGCTGAACAACGACTTCAGAGTCATGACCACAAATGAGTAGCCGAATGTATCAAACCAGACTCCATCTGTCCCAGCGCCCTTATATGTGTCCTCCGCGGCATTCGACATTGCGCTCACTGTCTCGATGGCGCTGTTCATCATGTGCCACATGCTCGCGATGGAAGAGTGGCTGATATCATCTTGGTTGGTGTGGTACCTCGCGCGAGGACGATAGAAAGCAATATCAACGCCACGTTGGCCGTAGGCTTTTGTGAAGACGGTGTAATCAGTGTCACTCTGAATGAGACCCAGGCGAAAGCCGTCGGATGCGACGACCGTTCCGAACGGGGTAGACACACCCCGGTACGCGTCGACGACCTCCTTATCGGTGGCGCGGAAGAGAAGAGCTCGGCTGTTGGCACCGGCGCCCTCGAGATTTACAAAGGTGCGTGTGAACGGCAGGAGTGGACTGTAACCGAAGGCGCGGGAACCCCAGAGACCGTCCTCCTCGCCATTGTTGATGAGAGCGACGATTCCATGCTTCGGCTGCTGACCCGGCTGAGTGAAGTAGGAGACCATCTGGAGAATGCTCACCACCGCGATGCCATCGTCACTTGTCCCATATGCGGTTGATACCCTAGTGGCTTAGTTAGATTCTCGCATGATCAGCGCCGACTGCTGGGTAGGTATGCCTACGAGTCCATGTGTGCATTTACGAGCACTCCGCTGCCGGATGGAGATTTTCCTGTTTCCCACCACTCGCCTTCATCGTCCTCGCTTCCTCGAATATATATGGCCAAGTTGGTTCCTTCGAAGTAAGCGCCGAGGGCCTGCTGGCGACTGCATGATGAGCTCGCATTCTGCAAACGGTACATGGCCATGGTTACGTTCGAGATAGTGTCATCGAATACGGTGACTGCAGGACCGGTAGATCTCTTCCGGAGCTTCACCGGCGCGCTAGAATCTCGTAGCAATGGCGATGGACTCGTCACGGCTGAGGTTTGACTAGAAGGGAGTACCCCCCCTACGGAGCTGTTCGTCCATTCCACCTCGTTTCGGTCCAGGATGGTTTGGATGCGATCGAAAAGCCATGTTCGCAACTCCTCATTTCGGCGGCTTGGTAGTGGATGAAATTTGCTTGTCAGAGTTAGTAGATCGAACCAGGCTTCGGTAACATTGACACCGCGGAGCGGCTGGTCAAGGTTTTCCGGGGCGGGCGGGAGACGTTCGTGAACGATGATGGACGGTATCAAAAAGACGAGGTACGTCAAGATAGTCCACCCCGCCACCGGTAGCGACCCGAAGCCGAAAATATTAGACAGCTTCATTCTTATCCTGGCTCTGGCGTTTCTAAGAATTATGGCCTTCGTGGTAACGGCGAGGAACACGAAAGCCAGTAACTGTTCAAGGGATGTGATTGCTATAAGCAATGGCCTGCCGAAAGAGCGCAAGCTGGGC